TTCCTCCTTTCCCTCGTCCCTCGGCCGTCTCCGCCGCTTCCTGGACCCACGCTGCCGCTGACAGCAGAAGTCGTGCCTCGGCGGCCGCCGAAGAAGCACGGCCAGAGAGCTTCGAAGGCAGGCACCTGCTCGACCACCGTGCGTTCGGCATCTTCTGGAAGTTGCCGGGGCTCAGAGCCGAGAGCGGCAGAAGCATCAAGGTGAAAGTTGAAGGTGTCCTCGGCTTGCTCGAGGAGCACCCGCCTGCAGCCACAGGCAACCCCACAGCACAACGGGCCGCACCGGTACGGGGAGAAGGAGGCGGTGAGGCACCGCGCGAGCGCCAGGCGCAGGCATATAGCTAGGGCAGTGCGCCCCTCGGGGCGTTATCGGCACGTCTCCCGAACGGATCTCCCGTTCGAGCGCCTCCGTCCAGAGTGCACAGGACACTCGAGGGGACGGGAGGCAGCAGCAGCAGTGGAGGGCAGTCATCGGCCCGAGGCGAAGCGGGAGGGCACCCCTCTCCAGCTTATCCAACCTGTCCCTCCTCCCTCCTCGCTCCTCAAATATGGAACGAGAGGGGGCCAAAGCGAATGTGCTATTTCCATGCTCTGGACCGTAGTGTGCATGGCGGCGCCGCCACAAAATCACATGCGTTGAGGGGAATCGGGACGTATGGTGAGCATCCCCTGCCGCGCGCTTGCCCGCGCCACGCGCGCACTAAAAAACAAACCTGAGAAACGTCTACGGACGGTGCTGCTGCTGCGACGCAGCAGCAGCAGCAGCAGCAGCAGCAGCAGCAGCAGCAGCAGCAGCAGCAGCAGCAGCAGCAGCAGCAGCACTGTAAGCCTCGCTCCTTGCTATTCCTCCTCGCTCCTCGTTCTCCCCTTCCCTCTTCCTCTTCCTCCTCTCCGCGCATGGCACGGCTGGAGCGCGGCCCTGAAAATTCGATCCGGCCTTCTGGCGGCGGTGGCTGACTGTACGGCGCCACGCGCCCTGCGTGCCGCGTGCCCCTACCCTCCCAGCACGGGCCTGAACGTCGGGCTTTTTCCAATGCCGGCGTAAGACGACGCCAGGACAGGGACAACATCGGAGAGGGATAAACCAGGGATGTCTGAGATCAGGCGGCTCATGAGGATGCATCGGGCGCCGCGGCCTTCTCAGAGCGTCCCGGGCACGCTCTGAGAGCGTTCCCGAACGAGTTATCCATGTCCTAGCCCCGCCCGACGTCGTCTTCGGGACGGAGGCTTTGCGGCATGCTCAGACTCTGGGGGCTCTTGTCGGGCCCAGGGAGGCGTCAGGAAGCGAGACAGCACGAACAACCGGTTCGCTCGAGGCTGAGGTCCTCCACGCTCTTCAGCCTCGCAGGGCCGTTTGTGAGCTCGCGGGCAACCGTCCCTGGAGAAGAGGACAATGGGCGGCTGGGCTCGCGCATCAGAAAAAGCCCAGTCGGCCGGGGAAGTCCACATCAGAACGGCTGGCTGCACAGCGGGCAGGTCGTCTTCGCGGAGGTCTTGAACCAGTGGTAGAGGCACTCGCTGTGGAACTTGTGCTTGCAGGTGGGGCAGGCCTCGAGCGAGGCACGGACCAGGCGAGAGGAGAAGGAGAAGGAAGAGGAAGGGCAGCAGCAGCAGCAGCAGGGAGGCGGAGGATGGCCGCGAGGAAGTGTCGCGAGCGCGGAGCCCAAGCAATGAGCTACTGCACCCTGGATGTGCCAGCGGTGTGGTGTAGGCTGTCTGGTGTGAGCATGGATGCGCAACGCGTGTGGCGCAAGCTGTGCGGTGCGAGGCAGGTGATGCAAGATGTGTGGTGCAAGCTGCGTGGTGCAAGCTTGTGAGCAGAGGGTGTCAGCAATGCGATGCAAACTGTGTGGTGCAGAGCCGCCGCGCCCACGGGCGCTCACCGGGCGCAGACCCAAACGGCCAGCCACCACGCTCGTGGCGCCCACGAGGCGCCCGCCGGGCGAAAACCCAACAGGCAACCACCACGCACGCGGGGTCCACGCTGTGCCCAACGGCGCCCACCGGTCGAAGCCGCGCAGCAAGCAAGCGGAACTGCTCCGAAGAGAGGTGAGAACCCGCAGGTGCAGGCACTGCTTGAGGAACGAGTTGGGGAGGGGCGCAGCCACCCTCTTTGTCGCCGCAGGCGTCGCAATCCTTGCGAACGCCCTGGTGACGGCGACAGCGACGCGGGTGACAGCAACGACGTTGACAGCGACGGCGACTGCAACGACGGCGACGGCGGCGGCGGCGATTAAGAACGACGACGACGGCGACAACGACATACATATTAAAGAACGACAGCACGGGTACATTCTAAAAACGAGGGCGCCGTAAACTTCTTGAACGCTTGTTTGGGGTGGCGGGGCGGGCTGGACAGGTGGGGCGTGCCGGGGATCGGGGCGCGCGGGTCCCGCCGCGGACGCCCTCTTCCCCCCTATACATGTTGAGCCGGTGCAGCTCCTCTGGTTGGTGCCCCCCTGAAGCCTTTGATTTTTCATCCCCCTTGGTATCCCCCAGTGGGGTTCTTCGTCGCTTCACCCGAGTTGCTCTCAAAGCCCCAGCCCCAGTGTGAAATCATCATCATCATCGCCACCCTCGTTGCCATGGACCTCGACTTCGCAATTGTTGCCACTTGTCGTCGTCACCGTCGTCGCCTCATGGTTTGTCCGCGCCACCCTGACTATTGATACAGCTCGCTCGGCGTCCGAACACACACCTTCTGATTTTCAGATCTTCAAGGTGGCGGCGGCGACGACGGCGGCGACGACGATGGCCAACATGGGTTTTCAAACAAGCTTGCGCGCACGATCTTACGAACACGTGTCAAAAACAACAGCATTTCAACACTTGCATGCGCTGCGACCAAGCGGGCTACTCGCGCGAATGTCGGAATCATTCGAATTCCCTGGTGCGTTTGCCGGGGGGGGGTTACGGCCCCTGGTCAAATCACGAAATGCGGGCCACTGGCGCGCGGCGGCCGCGCACAAATGTCAAAATCCTTCAAACACATTCATCACCGACAAACGGACACCATCATCGTCATCGGCGTGACCCGGATCGGCGCCGTCATTGACGTTGCCGCCGTCATCGTCAACATCTTCACAACCGTCGCTGCTATCATCATCGTTGCTGCCGATGCCGACGTCATGATGATACCGGGGCCGCCCGAGTCACCGACCCGCGGCTGCCTCGCCCGGACCCGGACTCGCCATGAGGATTTCAAAATCGAGCGACACGAAAACAGAAAAAAACATGGTGTCGCAACATGGATCTTCAACACAAAAGCCTGCGCTCGCGCTCTTGCAAATCAAAAAAAAACCATCGGAGTTCAACATGTTCAGAGCATCCCACAAGACGGGCCCCTCGCGCGCGCATGCCGAAATCGTTCGAACGCGCTTGCGCGCGTGCTGTCGCAAGAACCGTTTGCAACAGATGGGGTGCAGAGCACATGCGGGCGTCGTTGCGCGCGCATGCCGGAATCTTTCGGCAAGGGTTTCAAACAAATATTGCCCGAAACCATATAACAAACACGTGGCTTTGCAACATCAGCCTTTACACAAACAGTTTGCGCGCGCTCTTGCGAATCCTTGAGACAACCATCGGTTGTTCAATGGGCCTCTCGTGCCACATGTCGATCGAATTCATCCGCACACCCTTGCGCGCGTGCTTTGGGGGGGATACGATCCGTGTCCAAGAATACCACGCGTGCCACTCGCGCGCGTCGGCTGCGCGCGCATGTCGAACTCCTTCCAAAACCTTCACCGCGCGAGGACATCGTCATCGCTATCGGCGGGCGTGAGCAACATCGGCGCCATCATTGGCCTTGCCGTCGTCATCGCCACCATCGTCACCATTATCGCTGCTCTCGTCATCGTGTCTATTGTTGTCGGCGTCGCCATAATACCGCGTCCGCTGAAGTCACCGACTCGCACTGAAGTGCCCGCTGGGGAATGACCAGCGGTTAGCGCCACCGCGGCCGCGTCGGTCGCGCCGCACTAGCTGGCCGCTGCCCGCACGAGCATGCGCGGGCTAGCGCGGCCGCAAAGATGCACCAGCCAACGCCAGACACTCATCGCAATCGCCGTCGCATGGCATTGCAAATCAGGTTTCGGGTGGGTGGGCGGGATGTTTGCGGGAGCAGTGGAGCTTACGACTCACTGCGAACATGGGTGTGCATTGCACTGCACCGCACTGGTTGCACGACGCATACTGCTCCTTTTCCACCTGCTCCTAGAAACACACTGGCTGGGGTCCACGCTGGCTGACATTTGCCCAGGGGGAGGGCAGCCAACATTCGCCAGGAAATCTGCAGAACGATGAGGGCGACACGGGGAAGCCATGCAAACGAGAGGACTAGACGGGAAAGCCGATTGGACAAGAGAGAGAGAGAGACACAGAAAACTAAGACACAGCTTCCATACATGAAGGACGACTGGAAGAGAAGGGGCGCGACCGAAGGGAGGCGGCCAGAAGAAGGGGGTTACACTCTACGGAAATACAAAGGGCAAGTCCAGGACGCAAGGGCGGGGAAATGCTGTCGGCTACAGCCGCGTGCGGATGGCGTGCGGTGGAAAAAAACAAACACGCCTCCAAACCGCGACCCTGGATCCTCCCTCCTCCTCCCTCCTCCTCCCTCCTCCTCCTCCTCCTCCTCCTCCTCCTCCTCCTCCCTCCTCCTCCTCCTCCTCCTCCCTCCTCCTCCTCCTCCTCCTCCTCCTCCCTCCTGCTCCTCATCCTGATGGGCCCCTTCCCATCCTTGGGGCCCCCATCCCTCAGGACCCCATCATTGAACCTCCGAGCCTCTCCCCGCGCACGCCACGCCCTCCCCCCCGGGGCCGTTGAACGTGCGCGGCGCGCCGGCGGGGCCTTCCGCGGGATGGTCTGCGTGGACAGGTGCACGACGTTGTAGCAGATGGGGCAGTCCTCCGCCCGGGCTTCTTCGGAGATGTGTCCGGCCAGTTTGGCGCGGGGCGCGGTTCCCAGCGCGGGCCTCGGACACAAAGAAAGTGTGCACTCCGGCGGTGTGGTGCAGTGTATGTGGTGCAAGGCGTGTTGTGGAATCTGCGTGGTACATGGTGCGGCAGGTTCGCGTCGCAAGGACGTCGGCGTTGGTTTTGGACAGGCAATCTTCGAAGTCGCAGCGCGGCGCAGCGCGGCACATGAAAAGGCAGGTTGGACGGAACATGCAGTGGCCTGGCCCTGACCGCGCCACCCCCTCCTTGAAACAAAGTGCAGAGTGGCAAAAGCTGAGCAAGCTCCATGGAAGCTGCCAGAGTGTCGCGAAGCCTGGGGAAACCGGAGAACTTCCAACGCCAACTCTCAGACCGCGTTCAATACGAGAGGGCATTGTCCTGCTCTTTGGCCTGCCGGTGGTAAGCTGACGACCCGCCGTCAATGTTCGGGTCATAGACGGGCTCGTCATTAGACCAAATGTCGTCCGAATCCACTTTCGGGGTGACCGCGATGCTCCCGTGACTCTCCTCCGAGATCTCGTGCGACAAGTCCTCGCCGTGGACCTTGTCGGAAATCGGAGAGTAATCGCTGTGCGAAACTGACCAAGTCGACTTCTGCCAGTCGTCCATAGTGTGGAAGACAATGAGTGAGGTGCATGTGGTCACGGCCATAACACCCGTGCCGAACGCGATCGCTGCATCCTGGAAGGCCACACCAGTCGTCAGGGTCGAGAGCAGTTCGGGTCTGGTGGACGTTGAGTGGGGATCTAAACCGTACCTCATCAGTTCGCCAACCTGGTTGCCAATGTAGAGGTCGCCAGTCGAATCAGCCACCGGCATGGACCAGCTATTCGGATGACACTTTTCACGGCCGCCCATGGCCCGGCGGATATCTGCCCCCTCCTTGTCGCCAGCACAGAAGCCAGTCCACAACGTCGGGCCCTCCTTAATCCACCGGGTGTGGCCGTTGTTTGGGTCTAGGCCCCAGATCTGGCTGGAGGCGCCGAGGTAGCAGTTGTGGCCCATGGTGACCACCAGACGGGTGTGGAATGAGGGGCTGTTGAGCGCGCTGATGCTGGCGCTGGCCGGCGGCTCGGGCGTCTCTAACTCCCAGACCTTCCTGCCAGAGGATGCGTTGTAGGCGCGGACGAAGCCCCGCGTGCCTGGCCACGTCCAGCACGAAGGGAGGATACCGGGAGCTGGGTAAGGGTTGCAACGACCGTTGGTGTAATGCTTCACGCCCAAGGCAATAACTGTGTTGTGGCCCGGGCTGTACACGGCGGCTGCATTGGTGTGCGTCCCGATGTCTCCACCGACCTTGAATATCTCGGCGCCTGTCAAGTAGTTCAGGCTGTACACCCTGCCCTCCCAGTCCTGGAACATCACGCTGGTGCCGGGACCCCACAGAGGGATCATGCTCCACATTGGCTGGAACGTCTTGTACTGCCAGACAGAGCTGCCGTCCGCAGCGCTCAGACCACGCACCCACTGATTGCCTGGCGTGAGGGGGTTGGTCTGGTTGCGGTACCTGTAGCAATAACGGTCAGTGCAGCGGTCAGTGGCGACCACTACGATACCGCCCTTGCAAGCCACAGAGCCCTTGACGCCAGCGATTTCGTTCGATGCCCAAGTTGCCCATAACTCATCTCCGCTGTCGAGGTCAATCGCGAAGACGTAGCCAGAAGTGGTGCTACCCACCAGCATGGCGGGCAGTGTGGTGTCCCGCTTCTCCACGTGCGAGAAGCGCTTCGCCATGAGGTGGAGCTGCATCACCGTCTTGTCCCCGCTGCGCGTCCACAATATGACGGCCTTGCTGTCCTTGCCCTGCTCATCCGGGACGACGCCAGAAATCATGCCTTCGTCGCCGACCCTGAAAAGCTCCCTGCCGTCCACCCAATAGCTCGCGCCAGGCTTCACCTTGACCATGTCGCCGACGCGGAAGTCCCTGGTAAGTTGGGAAGACGTGCTGGACTCGTTGTTGCCCTTGGCCCAGTCTGGTCGCACCATGTCCTCTTGGCCTCCGAAGCTCATGTCGGAGGTCGCGAGGCGCCTTGCACCGGCGGGGCACAGGCTGGGTGCCGCCGCCAATTGACCTCGGGGGGCGTAACTCCACTTGATTACACCGTTGACGTCGAACTTCCGGATGGCGTCGTCGGCTCCGATGTAGATGTTGTTCTGGTCATCAAGGAGGGGGCTGCCGACCGGGATGGTGTTGTAGACTCCAGACGGGTGGTGCCATCCCCAGGTCACACTTGCTGTGAGGTCCTTCGCGCCAGTAAAATTAATGTCCTCGCGGTTGGCGGAATCGGCCCAGAAGAACTTGCCATCACTCCTCTTGATGTGCCTGAGCTCGTAGTTCTGGTACCGTGTGACGCCCACCTTGTTCTTCATGCCCACTGCAGCCCAATACGACTTGTCGTCAGCAGTCTGAGTAAAATGACTCGTCACGCCACCGAAGACCCTGCCCTGCCCGCCGGCATCGCTGCCGTACTCCAGAAGAGAAGACCCCCCCTGCGAAGAAGACGGCCTGCGGACTTCGATCGCACCGGTGCCTAGCATCTTCAACACGAGCAGGTGAACACTGGCAACTATCGTGGCCAACTGCATGGTGATAAAGTATTAGTGTGAGGGTACCGTTTTATTGTGTCGTAACACAAGAAATTGAGCAGAACTCCTGAACCCAAATGGGCTACGGACCCGTGTATCGTTCAACCTTGAACGATCGCGGCTTCCCCATGGCGCAGATCGTTGGATGCCAGCCGATTCTGGGACATCGGCGGCATTTAACCTTGAACACCAGTGCTGGGGTCGCCGCCAAGTTACCTCGGCGCAAGCCTACCGTATGTGGTGCAATTGTTATCGAACACCTTGAAACCATCGACTCCACTGCTCGAGCAACAGGCATTCCACCCACCCGCAACTTCTTGGCAGAATCCAGCTGGCGCAATGACACGGGGACCCTCTTCATGAAGATCCCCGACTCGGGCGGGCGGGTCATGCTGGTGATCGCGGGATCGGCGCCGGCGAAGACGACAATGACGACGACGATGACGATGACGGCGACGATGATGATGATGATGATGATGATGATGATGATGATGATGATGATGATGGTGGTGGTGGTGGTGATGATGATGACGGTGGTGCTGATGACGAGGGCGACGACAATGCCGATGCCGACGCCGCTGAAGACGGTGGTGGTGATGACGACAACGATGGTGATGATGATGGCAATCATGCTGATGATGTTGTTGATGATGATGAGGATGATATGGTGATGATAGTGAGGTTAATGCTTGTGATGATCGTGGTCATGATGATGACGACGACGATGAACATGCAAATGATGCTGATGATGATGGTGGTGATCACGATGAGGATGACCACAGCAATGATGACGACAATGGTGCCGATGAGGATGACGAGGCAGCGCCCGCGCACAGAACATCGGACAAACCTTGATTGAACAGCCGATTGGTTTCCACATGTTTTGGGCACTCCGATCTTGAAATACTTACAGCGCCTGTTCTCACAACCGTTTTCCGTTTCGACGCGCGCGCAGGGGACTCGCGCGTGGCCCGAGTGGCTGTTCTTGACGGAGTTGACGAAAGCGTAGATCTCGAGGATCTCGCTGAGCCGCGCGCGCGTTGCCGCGCAATGGGAGCTCGGGCCAGGGCCTGGCACCGAGCTTCTGACCACCGCCTGCAGCAACAGTGGCCACAGGAGAGACAGAGAGAGGCAAGGAGGACGCGCGGACTCGTCGAGGCGCGGGTGCGCCCGTGGCAGGAGTCCGACACTCTGGGAGCACGCGGGGACCAGGGGGAACGAACGGGGGGGGACAGCAGAGGGGTAGGGCAGAGACTTTGGAGTCCCGAGACGGTGCGGTGACAGACCGTGCAGTGACCTCGAAATCCCCCAAGACCTCACCGCACGGACCGTCACCGCACGGTCTTGGGACCTCGGAGGCCCCAGTCGCCCGAGACGTCCTCGGAGAACGACCCGAGTCCCAAAACCGTGCGGTGACCGCGAATCCCCACCGACTCACCGCACGGTGTGGTCACCGCACCGTTTGGGGGCCCCCGAGAGAATCAGCTCACGTAGCTGATTCTCCCAGCGCCTCCCGGCGCCGGGAGGCGCCCGTGTGTCGAGGAATGAGCCCGGCGGCGGGGCCGAAACCGGCTGCACGCAGCAGACTTTGTACCCCCCTCCTTTCCCTATATCCCCCCTTTCGTTCGGCCCGAGAGGAGTTGGGACCGGGTGAGGAGGAGCTGGGGGTAGGGACGTCGTGGTCACATCTCGGCGGTGGACAAACCTCCCTGTAGCGAACCTCCCTTCAGTGAAAGCGGCCTGGGGCCGAAACCGACGGACCTGGACCCGCAGAAATGACGGCCGCGACGCCCTCCCGCGAACCGAATGACGGCCGATTCACAAATCGATGTGTCAGGGTAGGAAGTCTGTCCACCCCCGAACATCTTCGGAGCGGCGCATACACGCCGGTCAGAAGAAGTATGTAAAAACATGAAGTAGGAAGGCGTTGGAAGTAAATCGGGCTTCCACGCGCCCCCTGAAGATGAGGAAAGAAGGAAAACCGCTCGACTCTTGAAGTAGGAAGGCGCCTAAAGTATATCAGGATTTGGGCATCCAGACATGCCTACTTTCAACGGCCGGCGTGCACACTCGGAGCGTGGCCACGAGGCCGTGGATCAGGAACGCGGGCCCCTTCGCCGAGAGGGGCCAAGGCCCCACGGGGATCCCCCAGACTGGGAGCGTCCCAATGGGGGAAGGCCCAAGCACGAGGAACACGCCGGGGCACACAGGGGGTACACCCTGCGAAATGCCTAAGAAACCATGGGTTAAGAAATTCAGAGTCTCAGAACTGGAATAAAAACCCAGAACTTCTATCAAAATCTTAAGATTTACATTGAAACATTAAGAATAATCGAGACTCTGGCCGAAAACTTGGGTTTTCTTACGCATCGCCTAAGGTTTACACCTTCCAGAATCAAGGCGGTTCGTAACCCTCGGGCCAGCTGTGCGTCGAGGGGCGCCTCTGACGCGTCAGCACTGCTCCAGGCTAGTCCAAATCACGGAAGCCATTCTCAGGGGGCGAAAGGGGCTGGGAGGGTGCAAGACTACCGAACTGGCTCAAGAATGGGCTCGAACGAATCCTGAAACTGAAAATCATTGTCTGGGAAGCCGCCCGGATCTCGGACGCAGTCTCGGATCTCATCGGACGTTCGCGCTAGCCAGATAACTGCGGCGACTGGAAGGGAAGGAAGATAAGAGGAGAGAGGAGGGGAGGGGGGAGAGGGATGAGGAGGAGGAGGGGGAGGAGATAGGAAGGGCGAGGAGGGGGGGAGGGAAAAGGGCGAGGAGGCGGAGGAGGAGCAGGAGGGAAGATGGCGAAGAGGAGGAGTAGGAGGAGGAGGAGAAGGGAATATGGCGATGAGACGGAGGGGGGGGGGCGAGGGAAAAGGCGGGGGCGAAGGGAAAGAGGAAAGGAAGAGCCGCGGGGGGTGAGGGGGCGGGATGGGGAAGTGGAAATGCAAGCGCACTCACAGGATCTGACAGCCACACGCTCCTGAAACGGGCCCTGCAGGCCCGGCAAGTCGGCTCGAGGCTCGCGTCGCAGAGGCGGCCGAACGCGAAGGAGCAGAGAAGAGAGGAGAGCAGAAGAGTGCGAGGAAGTATGGAAGAGAGAAGGGGGAAAGAGGAGAAGGGATATGAAGGGGAAATGGAAATGCCCACCACCCCCTCGCGACCACCCCTGGAACCCCTGGGAACACTCCACTCGACTGACAACCGAAGGGGGGAAGGAAGGGAGGGAAACTGGCCGCGAGCCGCGGGGGGCGCTGCTGGAGCGCCGAGCCGGCCTGCGCTCAAAAGAAGACGCACATGTCGCCGTTGCCGCCGCCAAGGGAGCCGATCGCCTGCTGGTACGCCGGCGCCCGCATCGACCACGTCCGAGACAGCAGCCCGCCCGCGTGCCCATAGTCGTCGTTCGCTGCCTGCGCCCATGCAGGCAGTGCCAAGACGTGGTTCGATGCAATCCCCATCGCATCGACTATGAGCACCGTGCGGTTCATGAGGGCACTAGTCCGCAGACTCCATGACGATCGCGTCCAGGCTGGACTGCAACAGGCTGTTTGGTTTCTTCATGCTGATCAGCCACCTCGAGGCGCTCTCCATCGAGCTTTCATCCGATCGCAACCAGAAGGAAATCTTGACGCCGATGAGGTCGCACTGGCCCGATACCTTCTCCGCGAACGCGTAGTTGAGCGGCATGGCGATCCCCTCGTTGGCGCCGACAGTCGCGGCGTACAGCTTCGCGCCATTCACGATGCTACTGTCGACCACCTCCTTCGTCATCCCTTTGAAGAAGCTCTGGATCTGGTCTGGCCCGACCTGCGTTAAACCCTGCTTCTCCATGTAGGTCTTGACCTCCGTGACGTTCGCCATGACGAGCTGGCGCGAGCCGGACGTGTGAATCCGAAGTGTCGGGCTCCTCCCCTTCTCCGTGCAGACGGTCTCGAGGGACTTGGCAAGTCCAAACATTGCGGGGTGCATCTCCTTGTGAATTTTCGCCAGCGCCAAGTGGCCAGCCTCGGTGAACACCTTGTGGAAAACCACCATGGTGGCGTCCAGAACCTCGGCCTTAATACCCTTCTCTGCGCGGCCCTCGGATTGCCGCAACCTGACTTGGAAGGGTGCGCTCAAAGCCAGCTCGACCCCCATTGTTCCTCCTCCTTCTCTTCCCCCTCATGCTCCTCCTCCTCTTCCTCCTCCTTCTCCTCCTCCTCTTCCTCTTTCTCTCCTCCCCCTCTTCCTCCGCCCCCTCTTATTCCCAGAAAAGCCGTCGGTTTGAAGATAACGGGGGGGGGGGGGGAGCGGGATCGGGACATTCGCACTGCAGTCAACTTGGAGGTCGTAAACTTCGGGATGAAGGCTTGACCAGCTGCAAGCAGAGGCGCCAGCTCATCCACGGTCCAGCCCTTGATCACCACGGGGGCCGTGAGCGCGTCCATGGGGGCTGCCTGCTCTGGGATCGACACGTCCTTGACCTCGCACTTGATGGCCTTCTCCACGCCTCTCTCGAAGAGCGCCATCTTGGCCTTGCCCGAGTCGGGGCCCGCGCCGGCACCAGCACCCCTGTTGCCGCCGCCCCTCGTGCCGCTGCCGCTGGGGGCGCCCTTGCTGGAGTCCTTCAGCTGAGCCTGTTTCATGGCCTGCTTGGGCGCGCCGAGAGCGTTGCGGGTCATCGCGATGAGATCGTTCAATGCCCCTTTGAACGGTTTGATTTCTTCTGCAACCAATTTTAAGTCCTGCTCGCTCGAAGCAGACAAAAGCTTCTCGAAGTAAGGTGAACATTCTGGCAAGGTGATAAGGCTCCGGTAGCTCCTGCAGGGAGGAGTGATGCCCGAGGTCCTGAAGCCAGCGATGAACACCTTCAAGTTCTTCGCCTGCTTCTTCTCAATCTTCTCATTCGGGGAGAGGCCTTTCATCGGTGAAGTATCCGACTCTGCAGCGAGCTCCTGCGGGGCCACATGTGCCATGTGACTCGCCAAACTGGATAACCCATGACCCCGATCAAAAGGGGGATGGGGCTGAACACCAGGGGGGAAGAACTGACCCACCCGTCTGACCGGGTCAGACGGGTGGGTCAGACGGGCCGGGGATCAGACCTGACCCCCGGCCCATCCCCTCATCGTCGTCAGCGAGGGCGTCTCGAACCCGACGCCCTGGAAAAGAGGCGAGGAGATGGCGGAGGGAGAGAGCGGGCCAGAGGAGGGGAAAAGGAGAGAAGGGCGGCGATCGAGGCATAGGACAGACGATGCAGGCAAAGGGGGGAAGGGGAAAGGAGGAAGGAGAGTCAGACGATAAAGGCGAAGGAGGGAAAGGCGGGGAGCGAGGGATAAGGGGTGAGGGGATTGACAACCCCCTGGACCCCCTGAGTCCGGCGACTGGGCATTCTTCTCCGCGGGGCTGGAGAATCTGGCCAAGGCCTTGACCTCCTTGTCCGTGGAGCTGGCCCCGGTCGAGACCACGGGCTGGGCCCCCTCCGAGTCGCCCGGCGGCTTCTCCTTCTCGTCGGTCTTGTCGGCGTCGCCATCCTGCTCCTCCTTCTTCTCCTGGGGCTCATCCTCGGCCTTAGTGGTGCTATCCTGCTTCTCCGAGTCCTTGCCGCCATCCTTTTGCTCCTGGTCATCGCTGGTCTTGGTGCCGCCCTCGGCCTTCTGCTCGAGGTTCTCGGGCTGGTCGTCCTTCTTCTCCTGGTTCTCGGGCTTGCCGTCCTTCCTGTCCTTGTCCTCCTCCTTCTTGTCATTGCCCCCGGCCTCGATCTCGATGACGCTCTTATCCTCTTGACCCTTCAAGTTGCCCAGGAGCTGCTCCGTGAGGGAGGGGGCCGCCCAGTCCGATGGCGCCCAAGACTGCTCGTCGGCGCTCTTAGTGGGGTCCTTCAGGCCCAAGACCAAAGCGCACGCCTGACTTCGCTGGAGCGCCACCCTCACTTCCGTCTTGAGCAACTCCTTATGGCCCAGGTCCTCGACCTCGCTAGCCACCTGCAGGACGTCGCTGTGCAGGGTCTTCAGCACCTTGTCGATCTCGGAGCGCCAGGTCTCCTGTGCGCGCGTCGCGGCAGCGATCTTGAGGTCCTTCTCCACCCACGGCTTCTGCTTTTTCGGCTTGCTCGGGTTGGCGGGGTCCTGGCTGGGAGCCCGAAGTGGAAGAAGGAGCGGGAGGAGCGGGAGGAGGGGCAGGTCGAGCAGAAGGAGGAGGATGGGGGCAGAGGGCGAGGAGATGGTGGAGGAGGCAATAGAGGGGTTCCAGGAGGAGGTGAGGGAAATGGGCGCAGTCGTTGCGGGAGGGATTCGGACTATCCTCCCCTCCTCCTCCCTCCGCGCCCCCCCTCTTCCCGCTCCCATCGCCCTCCTCGCAATGACCTTCGCAACCCCCATCCCGTTTTACACCGACTGGTCCTGGTCCCCCTGCTGCTTCCTCTTGCGACCCTCGTTGCCGCCATCCTCCAGGGGCTCGTCGTCCTGCTCCTGCTCGGCCTCCGCAGCCTCGACCTTCGCCGCCAGCGCCTTGATGCCGCCGAGGTTGGCGAGCTCGCCGTCGAAAGCCGACTCGTTGTCGACCCCCCCGCTCTCCCTGGCGCCTTTCGCAAGGAACTTCTGGACGTCGGTGCCGGTCAGCTGGCTAGATGCCGCAGTTGCCTCGCTCAAGTTGCAATGGAGCTTGCGGTAGGCGGCGTCGACGTCACCTTGGGATGCCTTCTTATTGAACTTGTCCAGTAGATCGTACCCTTGACTCTTAACGATCGCGTTGCGGTCGGTCAACACTGTCTTCGTCTTCACGCCCACGCGCATCTCGAAGCCGGCGCGCTCCCCGCAGAAATCAACCACCTCCGCTGGGTCCTCGGATCTCTTTTTGAATTCTACTTTGGCGTCCTGCTCCGAGAGACCGCGAGGAGGCCAGTTTTTTGGTTTACTGGCGAAGTGAACAAACGCTGATTCATGCATCATTTCTTTCACGCCGTCTCTGATCTGGGAGTTCTGCACGTTGACGGCCACCTTGTACTGCAGGGCGGAGAACTGCTTTGGCTTATGCCCTTCCTTCGTGCAATTGAGGGTGTACCACCGCTTCAATCGTTTCCACGCTTGCTTGTCTTTCTTCTGCTCGTTGCACCATTCCAACTGACCTTCTGCCTTGCGCGCCCGGCACAAGTTCTCCTGCATGCGCCAACACGGCCTCTGGCAGACCGCGCGGCCGACGCCAAACTCTGACAGGTCCTTCTCCACGTTGCACTCGACGCACTTCCTCTTGCCTGCCTTGGCCCCGCTCGGGCGCCCATTCGCGGACTTCTTGGGGCTCCCTTTGGCGCGCTTCGTCCGGGCGCCTGCAACCTGCCTTGCTGGTCCTGCCTTTCGCTTCGCCCCTCTCCTGCCACCTGCCTGTTCGCCACCTCCCTCTCCGCCATCCTCGGATCCCTCCTCGGGGGCCTCCTCGCCGGACGCCGCCCCCTCACGCTCCTGCTCCTCGTCGCTGCCACCGCCTGCTCGGAGATCCTCCTCATCCGAATCGGCGGCTGCTGCTGCGCGAGCGGCGGCCAAGCGCCCATGCCCACCGACTGACTCCGTAGGCAGCTAGCCAACGAGAATCTCGAAAGAAATGGCGACATATGTTCACTGGGCTTACCCGGATGGGTTCTTACTCTCTCGGGCCCGACTGGCGGCATTCCCTCGGGGCCTCAATGCGCTCATGTGGCTCATCGCGAAACCGATGGACTGCAATTATGCTGCCGTCGGTCCCTGATGCTGGCGAATGCCACGCGGGCGAACTTATTGCACGGGGCCCCGATGCCCCTGAGAGATCCTCAGACGGAAATCCAAGCCGACCTGGGGTTGCCGAAAACCTGCGATCCCCTGGCCCCGCCTCATCATTCTTCTTTTGATGATCGTAATCTCGGCCCCTCTCCCCCCTCCTCCCTCGCCCTCCTCTATCCTCCTCTGCTCGTCCCGCCCCTCCGAGGCCCTCCCCCCGCGGGGGCGTGAGCGCGCTTATTGCCCCTGGGTGGGCGCCAGAGCGGGGGCCCCCATGAGTGAGTCATTATGTCTTGGCATCGCTGGTGCCTCGACGAGGACGCCCAGGGACATCCCGAAACACTACGAAGAGGAAGTGACGCCCGGGGCTCCCTTATCAGGTGGTCCAGGGCAAATCCAAGAGCTTCTTACTGAGGATGCGCGAAGCGCGGGGAAAGGGCGGGGGAGGTGATGGGCCGGGGCAAGCGGGAGCGGGAACGTAGACGGGGGAGGGAAGAGCAGTAGAGCGGAGGGGGAAGAGGGGGGGGTGGGAGAAACGCTTTAGCGAGGCCCCCGACTCTGGAAGAGTCGCCTAACCACATCCTCACACTCGAAAAGAAGACTTGAATCGAGACTCGCGGCCAGGCCAGCCAACATGCTAGTTGTCTCTGGCGCATCTTCTAGGCAGCCTGCGAGGGCCGATCAAGCGCCCTCGACGACGCTGGAGCCCCCGCGGTCGGCTATGAGCGACTCGTCGTCGCTGCTGACATCGATGGGCTGGAGGGGCACGTCGTCGCGCAACTTCGAGGTGCAAAGCATGAACGTGATGATCGCCCCGATCGCTGGCCAGCAGAAGCCCGCGCCAGTAAGGCTCCGGATCTCTGCGCACTTCAGCTTGTCGTCGTCATCGTGGTAGACGCCGCCCTCCTGCAGCAGCGACGGAAAAGGGAAGAACTTTGCCAGGCGATCCGACACGAGGCCCGGCACTGGGAAACCCTGCACTAAGAGGTGCTCGATCGGCAATATTTCCCTCCCACTGACGATACCCCGCAGAAACGAGCGCTGCAAGAGGGCTGGAGCGTAGATGCTCGGGCTGTGGAGTAAGCTGTTCTGGAAAAGGCTCACGAGCAGGACCTTCGGCTCGCCCTTGAGGAAGTTCTGGAACTCCGCCAACTCCAACGTTTGATGAAGCCTCACCTTCATCTTTGTATTTCCAAGTGGCCCAAGGTCGTAGCCAGCGCTGTTTTTCTCCTCAGACGGCGCGGAGGACGCCGCATCCTGGCTATCCTCAACGTGGAAGATCCAGTCCTGAGTGGCGTTCAAAATCGCAGGAGTTCCCCTAGACGGCCTCAAGATTGCCCCGAGGGAAGGGGGCCGGGGGGGCCAAGAGAGAGGGGGCCCTGTCAGACCTTTCCGCGCCTCCCGAGGCGCGCCCGAGAAGCCCCTGGGACGACCCAAGGCACCTTCCCAAAGATGTCCCAACCAAGAGTTCCGCGACGGATCAGAAGTGCCCGGGGGCAGAGGGGGGGCAGGGGGGGCAAGCGCAGGACGGCGAGGGGGGAGGCAGGAAGAGGATGAGAGGGCGAGCCCCCGCCGAATCTGCAACAGCGACTCGGGGGTAGGAGAGGGCAAGTGCGCCTTGAGGATTGGGAGTCCTCGCCGCGCTGTCCAGCCCAAGCTGCCTTGTGAGTGGCCATGACCTCGCGGGTCGCGCCAATCATGAAGATGCTGGCGTCGCTGATGCAGTTGTTGAAGAATAGATCCTCGAACGTGGACTTCATGGTGAAGGGCTGCACGAGCGGGGTAACGACCCTGTCCAAGTACCACCAAGTATACGCCCTCATCCGACTCGCAGGATACCCGAGGTCGACTGGAGAGAAGCGAACCGTGCACTCGACGTACTTGCGAAGCCCAAACTTGTCTGGCGGACGGCACAGGGGGTGCTTGGTGATCTCAGTGATCTCGAGGCCGTCGAGGTCGGGGTCCTTGTTGAGCACGACATCAAACACGCGGGGGTCGAATTTCGGAGTGCACTCACTTATGATATCGTCTGGTTCGTGGTGTCGGCAACTGTGGGCCCACGTCATCGCGGGGCCGGTCGCCTGATCGAGGAGCCCGTTCCCGGAGCCAACCTGAGACCAAGCGTACAAGTATGTCCGCCAACCTCGAGCCACCGGCACCCCCGTAAATCGGGATCTGAACGCGGAGACACTTTGCAGCACTTGTTATGTTTGTAGCACCGCGCTTCCTCGGCATAGATTGCGTGGTCAAGTATCTTGTGGAGGTGCTTGATGAGGTCCTCTGACAGCTCATTCTTCTCGGTATCGAACTCTGCCTTGGAGATAGACGGCGGGGTATCCTGCGTGCCGGTGTGCTGCTGCTTCAAGATCTTGAATTGCTTAATTGCACGATCAACTGCGGTCTGAACCTGCTGCCTGTCGTCGGCGGTGGTCCTCTCCATCAAGTCCCCGAATACGTGGCGAGGCGCACTCGGGCCCTCGCGTGCCAAGAGGACCTTGCGGCTCAACGGGTTGATGTCCGTAGCGCTGTGCACGATCAGGTTAGGGGTGTAGTCGACGCCATGTAGGAAAACCTCGGAGCAGCGCCCGTAGAGGAAGGCCGCGGCGCTGGCTGCATTACCTGCGCTCGGGGAGGGGCAAGGGCGCGAGCGAGCGCGAGATGCAGGATGGAGAACTGGGCAAGAGGGCGTTTGGTTGAATGGGGAAGCGCGGCATGGACAAGGAATCAGTAATAATGAAAAGCGAACGGGATAACCATGAATAGAGAGGGGGAGGGAGGGATAAAGGAGAGCGGGGAGGCGGCCCGAGGGATGGGTGAGAGAGGGGAGGGAAGAAGGGAGAGCACAGAGGCGACGAGGGAGACAAGGACAGGATGAAGTCCCACCTGACCCCGCGTACACCTCGGTGATCACGAGCCTCTCTTGCAGCGAGAACTTCAAGTTCGCGACGTAATCCTCTGTGCTGCCGAGGGAGTGCAGGCTCATGGAGTTCAAGTTCGTCACGCACCAGTCCTGGAGTTCATCCAAATTGTTCGGGGCGTTGTTGTACCACTGCCTGCCTGAAGACCCCCCTCTCCTCCGGGCCTTGTTGCCCCTGCGCACGAGTGGCGACTCGAGATCCGCTGCCAGCGCATCCGACTCCTGCACTTTCCGCCGCAAGCCGCTCCCCTGAGCAGACGACGACGTCGGATCGTGATCCTCGCGCAACTCCTCATCGCTGACCGGGTCGCCGTTCTCGGCCCTGGCGGCGCGCGGCGGGGGGGGCCGGGGCGTTATTTTCCAAGGAGCTGGATCCGAGGGGATAAGGAGGGAGCGAAGAGGGAAGCGAAGCGAAGCGAACCGAGCGTCCATCCGACTCCACTTCGAGTAGAGCCGCGCCAATTTGGACGGGGCGAAAAGAGCCGTGGCCCTTAGAGGGAAGATCAGGGCAGCCCCACGTCAGATTCACGAGGAAAGGGGAAAGGGGTACACGAGGAAGGGAGTGAGGGAAAGGGAAAGGGGTACACGAGAAAGGACGCGGCCCCTGGTCCTGGCTCTCAAGCGTTCCTCCATGAACATTATCTCCTTGTCCACCGCGACCGCCTGGTGGATCGACCGCGCCGCGTCGTGGCTGGTGAAGCTCATCACCTGGGGCGGAAGCGAGCGGCGAGGGGCCGTCTTGGGGCCCTCTCGGGGCCCTCTTGGGCCGTCTCGGTGCTCTCTTGGGGGCCTCAGAGGGCTCCGAGGGGGCCCTGGGAAGGCCCCAAATTCGACAAAAAAAAGTTGAACTTCTTGGTTCAATGATTTTTGCCCCCTCTTGGGGCCCACCTGGGGCCCTCCTGGAGCCCTCCTGGGGCCCTCTTGGAGCCGTCTTGGGGCCGTCTTGGAACCCTCTTGGGGCTTTCTTGGACTCAAGCAAGCCCCGGACACGCGCCCTGGCACCTGGAACCCGCCAGCAGCAACGCTGAGCCACTGCGCCAGCAACCCAAGAGGCCAGGGCGATGGCGCCGCGGCGCCACGGCCGCCGCAGGCCGACGGCCAACGGCCGAACGCCAAATGGTCTCGAATCCAGCTCGTTCGGGCCAAGCGGCGACTGCGACGAATCAACGACTGGCGAGCGCCCATGATTGATACATACGGAGTCTTCCAAGACCCCCCTGTCAGCACCGCAAGGTCGCACAGCTGAGAAGGAGGAGCAGCAGCAGCATCAGCATGGAGGTACTGTTGCCGGGCACGAGGGCCAACACCTAGCTATTGAATGCAGTGCCAGTGCTTCGTAATCGATGATGACTTATTTGACTGTGAGATTTCCCTCTTCTTCGACGGCTGTCGCTTCTTCGGCAGTGAGGGAATTTCTGCCAGCAGAAATTCCTTCAGACAGGGTAAGGGAGGAGGAGGAGGAGGAGGAGGAGGAGAGGGAGAAGGAGGAGCAGTTGGAGTATCACCACGGACCGAAGAACGATACCTTAAGTAGATGTATATGTGTATGTAAGCATATGAGCATGTGTGTACATTGACAACGATGCATATTCAATAAATAACTTTTGCCTGGCCTTCACATACAATTGCCAATTGGCGCAGCTATTTCAGAACAGTATGTTTCTCATGTGATATGCTCGCACAATGTCTGCACTGCCCGATGCGCCCCTGCCATTACCAAACCCCCGCAAGGCTGAGATCGCAAAGCGCCAACGAAAAATCTGCACCGAAACCGTTGGCACTTCGGAAACGCAGAAAAATCATGATTTTCGACAGAAAACATCGAAAACAATTTAAACATACTAATTTTCAGTAGATTTCAATGATTTTCATTTTTTTCTCTTTGGAAATGCGCAAAATATCTGGGACCTTTCAAAAATTCGATGGCGCAAGCAGAAATCCACGTTGCCCCAGCGAGTGATCTCAGGACGACAGAAAACGCGAAAATCACCAAATCCCCACCACCTCTCGCGCGGCAGAACCCCCCCCTGGAGCGGCAGACCCCCCCCCCCCCCCCCCCCCCTGCAGCGGCAGGAACCCCCTCTACAGCGGCAGAAACCCCCCACCCTTGGGCGGCAGAACCCCCCCCTGGAGCGGCAGAACCCCCCCCCCCCCCCCTGGAGCGGCAGAACCCCCCCCCCCCCCCCCTGAAGCGGCAGAAACCCCCTCTAAGCGGCAGAAACCCCCTTGGGGCTGCAGAACCCCCCCCCCCTGGGGCGGCAGAAACCCCCCCTGGAGCTTCAGAAACCCTCCCGCGGTCAAGGCACCCATTCGGGGTGGTTCGACGTGCGCCATGCCGATATTTATGAAATGGTGTCGTCGGGGCATGAAAAACATCAGAAGTTCAAAATATACGATGTGAAAACAAAGGAACAGTTTTTTTTTTTTTTTTTTTTTTTTTGGGGGGGGGGGGGGGGAGGGTGGATTTTTATGTCAGGATAAACAGTTGCAATGGAAACCACCTGAAACATCAAATGTTTGCTTTTTTCCAATGAAAAAACACATGTTTGCGTGATTTCCAGCCTTCCCCAGCCCGCGCGAGGAAATAACATCTGCTGATTTAGGGAGGGGCTCCTGGCGGGCAGCGCGAGTCCAGACGAAAGCTTGCTCATCATAGTTTGCGCGTGCCCAGTCCGAGATTTACTGAGGTGCGATGGCATGTTATGTATGTATATGTGCATGTATTAACTACGCATGTTGCGGAATCACACAATCAGGCTAGGCTGCCAAAAGTAATCATATGTAATTGATGAACTAAACAAATATACGTGCATATGAATTGTGCACAAACTTATACACTTCGATGCTGTCGCCGACGCTGGAGCACAACGCTACTCGGCGCTCCTAGGATACGCACGCGGGACACATATTCCACGCATATTGCCAAAGCCAGAACCACATTCAAAGCAGATAGAACATCGCACCTGAATTACAAATGCCCCTGAGACCCAAGAGAACGTCAACGTGTACGCGCATATGAGTGCACGTGCGTTCTGAATCAAACATAATGCATGGGAGTGTACGCAAGGTCGGGCACACTGGAGACTACGTCCAAAGCGCTCGAACTCGCGCGGCGACAATCGGGAGCTATCATCACATCTCACTCTGAAGCCCACCGAACTGATCAGTGAATCAGGCACGGAAACCCGCTGGCGCTGGACACGAGAAGCAGGCTGGGTGATGCAGGGGGGGACAGGCAAGGAAGGCAGTGACAAGATGGGCGCCCGGCAAGACAAGGGCTGGGATCAGCTGGAGGACGAGGGGGGATGGAAAAACGAAAGGGAGAGGGCGGAGGGAGGCAAAGAAGCAGGAGGAAACAAGGAGACAAAGCAGGGAGGGAAGGAGGGAGGGAGGGAGAGAAAGAGAGAGAGAGAGAGAGAGAGAGAGAGAGAGAGAGAGAGAGAGAGAGAGAGAGAGAGAGAGAGAGAGAGAGAGAGAGAGAGAGAGAGAGAGAGAGAGAGAGAGAGAGAGAGAGAGAGAGAGAGAGAGAGAACGAGAGAGCTCATTATGCCCGGTGCTGCCCGAAGCTCTCCGCGCCACTGGCTCGCAACCGATTCTCGTTCGCAGCGTTCTAAGGAAGCAGCTCGGGCTCGACGCCTTCGCCGGCCCTCTGGGCCCGCTCGAGGCCGCTCATCTCAGCGTAGGCTACTGGGTGGGGCGCCTCCGTCTCCTGGCGAGCGGCCAGCCTCTTGTGTATCAGCAAATCGTCCTCTAGATTCGCTGCCATACCACGGGTGATCTCCTGGTGGTCTGCCTGGGTCGGGTACTGATGCGCGCGCTTCAACCATGCCGGGATCATTCCGAGCGGGCGACCCTGCGAGACCTTAGCTCCCTCGCGGACCGTCCGATTGAGACGGCACAAGGGGCCGTGGAAGCCGCAATGTCCCGCCAAACTCCTCAGTTTAGTATCGTACTTCACCTGGGCCTCTGGATTGGACTCGAAGGGGACATTCCACGTGGGATGCGGGGCCATCCCTCCCCCTCCTGCACCCGGCCCAGCAGGGGGCGGCGGAGGCGGCGGAGGTGGCGGCGGAGGTGGATCAGCTACTGGATCTGCACCGCCAGGTGGATCAGGACCAGGTGGCTCAACTGCTGGATCTCCACCGGGACCAGGTGGCTCATCTGGATGCGGCTCAACCTGGGCAAAGCATCGCGCGGGAGGGGGCCTCCTCCTCCTCCTCCTCCTCCTCCTCCTCCTCCCCCCCCTTATCCTCCTCCCCCTCCCCGTGCGCGTCGGCATGCTCATCTTCCCCATCCTTCTCCTGGCCCCCCTCCTCCCCCTCAACATTTCCCACCCCGCACTCTTTGCATGTGTTTCGCCCTGGCCCGCCATGCACTCCCCTCCCCCGCCCTCCCCCCTCTCTGCCACCATTCAACACTCGACCGAAGCGACCTCCATATCTGAGAACATATGTTCGAAAGGATCTTCGACGTCGACGCCGCCTCCCTCGTGCCCCGACTCGCCGCCATGCCCATGGCCCTCCTCCTGGTCGTCAGATGGAAGCCCGTCCACGAGAGCCCCTGCGAGGCCGTCTGCGTCACCAAGTGCGATCATTCTGCGCTTGCGCGCTGGTTGCTCCACGTCGCTTCGAAGGCCGCCCGCGATAGCAGGTAATGGAGGTACTCCACCCCCGTCGAGGATGGACCTGTACACTGCCTTCTCCCTCCCGTGCGGGACGTGCTCTATGCGCATGCATAACTCCTGAGCTGTCACGGGCGCGGGCTGGGGGCAGGGCGCAAGATGGGCAGTGGCGAGGGGGCAGGGGGGAGGGGGTGAATGAGGGGGCGAGTATGCTGGACCCCCCAAAAAACATTCAACATGCCTCGGGCGCTCGTGATCCATCGAGCCCCCCCCCCCCCTCCCCCTCCATGTCGTGCGACCCGCCTCTGGCGCCCCATCCGTTCTTTTCCGTCGTGGTCATCCTCCTCAAGTCGCCTCGCCGACCCCACCAATATTGTAGGTGGTTTGCCTTCCCTCGACCTCCCCCATCCCCCTCGTCCTGCCCCTCCTCCTCCTCCGCCCTCTCGGGTGCTCGACGAAAGCCCGGGAGCTCGGGGTGGTGGCGCTGGCGCCCCAATGAGAGGCGTGGCGACTAGCATCTCTAGACAGCAAGGCAACCTTTCCCCTGGAACCCACATCCTCGGCCTTCACAATGGCAAGCAAATACTCCTGGTGGATCGGAGAGCTAGCAGCTGAATCAGAAGAGTACAATACCTTTGCGTCGCCAGGGCGACGCCCGAGCGGACTTCTCGGCCCTGCCGCAGTCGGGCGCAGCCGCGGGC